CCCCGCTGCTGCCACCCTGGCTCAGGGCTCCGTGGCTGCCCTGCTGTGCCATGCTCCCCTGGGACACCCCAAGAGAGGGCTTGCCGGTCCCGATGGTGGGACTTCTGACGGACTCTCTGGTCCAGCAACATCTGTGACCTTGCTGGACGAGAGAGTCCCAGATTCAGGCGGTTCAATCTGTACTCGATGACCCTAATATTCCCTTCCAGCCTTAGAAGCTAGGAATTTCTGAGCCATGAAATGTAGCCACTTATGGGGTGTGAAACAAAGCAACTGGTTAGCAGTATGGGTAAGACAATAAGGGGGTACTGTCTTGGAGAGAAGAGTGCCACCTTCTGAACCATCTGCATCATCTCCTACAGTTACTTGGTTTCTTTTGAATGTTTCTTATCCAGGTGCGCACCTGACCCAGCCTGCTTAGCTAGTGAGAACTGATAGTATCTCAACACAAGGCTGGCTGATTGCAGGTCTGAGAGAGAGGACTCCAACTTAATATCCATTCTCTTCTTTTGCATAGAAACCTACCCTTCCCTCAGGATATAATTGCAAATCAATCATTTCCATGTCAAGCAATAACATGAACACGCTTTACAAGGAATGAAAGTTTAGAAGATAAATCTAAAACATGTCACCCCTGTAATGTGGAAGGATTTGGACGGCCGTGAAATGCACATTTGACTTGAATAAATGAAGGGTAGGCTATATCAGTAGGGCACCCAAACATTAGAACACATGATCATGTCATATTCTGCTCAAACATTGTCTCACTTTGTATTCCAGTATTGCACAGTTTGCTGTGGATCTTCTACATTATAAGGTGAACTGAGCTGTTCAGGAAATCAGAGCTGAGAACAAACTGACAACAGTTAATCATACGACGGGTTCTTTAGGAGATCATAGTGCCATACCTTTGGTTGAAAGTATATCAGGGTAAAAACTACAGGCCCAATTCATCATTGCAGCCAAGCTTGGCATAACTCCAGATTGGAAGGAGGCAAAGTATAGGCAATGAAATCCTAGATAGTATCTGTTCTTTTCTATTCTTTGAGTGAGAATGTGCTTCTTGGGCAAGCTAGAATATTTATAACCAATTCAAGTAACGCAAGACACTGTAAGTGTCTAGAGAGTCTCCTGTCATGTCCATTTCAGAAAGGTAAGGCTAGAGTGATCACCAGATACAGATGTCATATGCTTTTCTGGTTTCCAGGGGATTTTTTTTTTTGTGTTTGTTTTGATAAGGCATGTTTTTGACCTTGTCGTTCCTCCTCTTAACTTTTGTGTGCCTCTAAAACCTTCACCTTAATGTAATCTTCCAGCTAAACTGATTCTTATGATCTCCTAAACCTGTAACTATTCAGCAGCAATTTTCTAGCCTGTAGAAAGTAATCACAGTTATAGAGACATCTAAAGATAATTGCTGACTTAAATCAATGAGGGCTAAAAGACAACACAACAATTATTTTGGAAGTGTTTATAGCTCTTTGACTTTGTTACAATTGTGTGAAGAAAAATACTGAAGCCTAACAAACCACAACAATATATGTAACTGATACTGTGAGGTTTACTCAACTTCTTTTTAGTGCTTCTGCTCTGTTAAAACAGGCCTACAATGCCTTTTTTATGTGGAAATCTTCTAGTTGGGTGTGGTGGGGAAGCCGTTTCTGTGACTCATGCTGCAGGGAATTCCCTAATGATTTAGAATATTTTTACTTCTGGACATCTGCACAGTTTCCTTTAACTCTGCAGTTGTTAGGAGAACTACAAAGAACTATTCACTGCTAAGCCATTCCATTTTAAATGGGCGCTTCTATTTTGAAAAGTTCAAACCCCGCATGCTAATGAAGTAGGTGTATTGTGTTTTCATCACTAGTAACTCCAGGGGCTTACCATAGACTGAAAACGCATGATAAAGCAGAGGTGGATGAAGCACACTCAAAACCAGAACATGCTACAAATAACGGCACATCACAGTTATCAATTTTTAAATGTCAGTCATCTCAACAAATCGCTATGTCTTCAGTTGACAGTGACACTCAGCAAACCAGCTGGAAATGATGACAAACAGCACTAAATATTGCCCTTCCAGAGACAGTCCATTCTGACTAGAAAGAGCCAAGGGTTTCCTGCTCGTGGAAGACTCCCAGAGTGGAGCCAAGATTTCATCTCCAGTAACTTCTGTGGGCTTTGCTCAATGTTCTGTGTGGTGTGCCTCCCCTCCCAGTGCAAAAAACTTTCATGATCCAAAAGAGACACAAAACATCAGCTTTGGAGAGAGACTCCTGTGCGTCTGCCACTTCAATATACTGTAACAAAATGTTTTAACAAACACTTTGACTGAAAGGAGGCATTGATTTCGAAAGAGAATTTTAAAAATACTTTGTAAACGTGAATAAATAAAATAAGTCCCTTGGAAAAGAGGGTGTCTCTCTTTTTTTTTTGTATAACAACTGCCCATTTGGACACGGTAATTCCAGAGAGTAAACTTTAACGGGAATGCCTGAAATGTGTCTGCTTCAGCTTTGTGTTATGTCTGTAATTTGAATTATTTGCATTTTGGAAAGGTATAAATTGCTCTGGTGTACTTTTGTTGGCCCTTGGCCAGACAGGGAGTTGCCTTGGGCTCTGAGTCAGCCAGGCTGATGCAGATGTGGCAGACTTACAATGGAAACTTTTGTGGTTTATCAGTCTTCACTCCTCAGGCATATTCTGACAAGAGACTATATCCTGCATACTTGGTAGGATATTGGACATAGGTGGCACTGAGAGAGGCAGATGTTTCAAGTCCCCACAAATTGCTCCATTCCTGTTTTTTTTTTTTTTTTTTTTTTTTTTAATTTCAGCTGAACTGTATAAACATGCAAAACATGTTTATTGTGAGGAGTTGACGTAGTGGTCTAAGGTTTCCCTCCTGGAGTTGATCCCAGTCCGTGGGCGTTGAGATTTCCTTCTCGGTTCACCAGACGTAACATGAAGAATTGTCTACTTTTTTTTGTCTCTGCTTCATAACAACTTCTCCTCATGTTTTGGTTAAATGAAATGTCACCAACTCTTAACGAGTCGTCTGTTTCCCCACCCCTTAAAGAACAAAGTTCTGGACTTTCTCAAAAGAATTTCTTATTGGAGCAAAAACTAGTGCTCTTATTAGTTTTCCAGTTGATAGCCAAAAAATAAACACAGGCTGGGATTATTTAATATATAACCATTTAGATTATATTGTTTAAAGTGTTTCTGAAAAAAATTCACTCTTTGTCATCATAAAAATTTCAAAAGCACATAATGGCAGCACTGCATGAGGTAATTGAAAGATTAGCCTCAGAAGGAGCCATTTTGAATTTTACAAAAGTATTGGCAAGAAATAAAAACAGAATCCTGAATCAGGTCATTCATTTCACAAGGTGGAGATTAAACATAACAAAAAACCCTGATGTTTGGTCATCCACTTACAAAGGCAACACAAGTTAACCAGACTGCACTTCTCTACATAAAAACACTTCCAAAGCAGAAGTTGCTGAGCAGACTGTCACTCCGAATGGCTTGTAGGGATGTCAAGATTCTAATCCTTTCAGAATCACGTTAATTTCTACTTCAGTTTAATGTTTTTTTTCTTCCCAGAGAAAAGATGGGTCCCAGTTTGAGGGATTGTGGTCAGATTTTCATATTGTCAGTTTAGAAAAAGCATCTGGTGGATTAATTCCGCAGTTATCCCCTGTACTTCTGCGAGGTCTGTTTAATCTTGGCAGTCCTAAAAGACCCTGCTAGAGAGATTTGAGGGCTGGTATAGAAAACTTTTCTCTTCTGTCTCCCAACCTACTGGAGAGATTCTTATTCTAGTTGATTTTTTTATTTGGTGGTATGATTTAAAATGGAGGAAAAAACCTAATGCATATGTGCTGATTTATTTTGATAGAAAAGCATTTCAAAATAGCTATGCTCTAAGTGTGTAGCATTCACACTGTGTGTCTTTATGTTAAAAAGAAACGGGTTCAGATTTAAAAACAATCACCAAAAGCCAATTCCACCCCAGCATTCCTTTCACAGTGGGAGTGCTGTACACACAAATATTATTTACAAGCATTTGTAATAAATCAGGCCATTTACAATGTGTCACCTCCATCCTTGGCATGAAAGAGAAGAGAGAAGAAAAAGAGCATTCACTGGTACCTTGCAGAGGCTGTTTTTTAAAACATGCAAATAGCTGTGTGGTGAAGTTCAAATCAACTAATCTTTGCATTTGCATGTCCCCATGCAGCAATAAATATACAAAAGAGATGACATCAAGTCTAATTTTCCCATTCACGCCAATGACATTGTATGTCCATTAAACCACAAGTGTCCCTGCTGCTGAACTCGGACAGTGATCAGATTGTGGCCATTTGTACATGTTTTTTCTTTTTCTAGGCTCAGGGAATAGAAACCTTACATTTTGTATTATTTTTCTCATTTCCTTCTTGATCTAAGTGGCAGAAACTTGAACAGCTTGTATCAGGCTGCTCATCTCAAAATAGAATATTGCCTGCTGGGACCTATTGAAGATGAGGACAGCTATAATTTGTCACCCTTCCTTACACTGCTCCTTTTTACTTGTAACTCTTGGCTCTGATAATATTTATCATTCATAATGTTTGAAATCTTTACAAAGGAAGGTAAGCATCAATATTCCCATTTTCCATATGGAAAAACCAAGGCATAGAGCAGTGATATGAGTTACTCATATTAGTGGTAGATTATTTTAAATCCCAATCTCTTTATTCCCATCCCAGTAACTATCAACTGAACCATGCTCCCATGCTTATAATCCAACTAAATGGGACCTGGCAAGTTATTTATGTGCCTTCTTGGTTGGGCAAAGTTTGAGCAGCCTGTCGACAGAACTATTTTCCTTCTTCCTCCACTGCAATAGAACTTCTATAAGCTGTCCATAGCTCTAGCTAGGCTCAGGCAAAAGGGGAGAAAACAAAGCATAGAATTATATTTATTTTTTTCTGCTTTTTGTATTTTAGATGGTCACCATGTGTGGGAAATGGAAGCCAAAACCGACAAAGAAATGTGCAAACCGGTAAGTGTGCTTTACATATTTTAACATCACAATTAAAAATATGTTTAATTTCTCTAGCACTTTTCTTCTCGAATAGGCTTTCCAAGACTTTGGCACTGTGCCCCAATCCTGAAACAGACCAAGTACTCAGACCTTCCGTTTTGGAAATCTTTCTTTTAATGGGAGTGGGGGCAGAAGGCCTAAATTGAAATCTACTCTGAAAATAAATGCATTCGAAAAGCATATTTTCAAAAGTTGGATAAGGCCAGCCTGTTCCCCCCCCCCCCCCCCCCCTTCTTTTGCTGGCTCTATTCCATTTTGAACTCAGCAAAGAAGGAAATTCAATTCTGGGTTCTGCTTTTGCCAAAAAAACAAAACAACCCACCACACATATTTTCTCTGGCTTCCTTGTACCTTCTCCAAAAAGATTTGGAGACTCCTGGGGAGATCAGTCTCACCGATTGAGAAGCATAGATATTTACCAACTGGATCACTGAAGCCATCACTGAAATGCAGCTATTTATAGGAGGGAAGCATGGCTCCTATTCTGGTACACCAGTTCTACACCAGAATATATTAGGAAACACAAAGAGTAATTTATTCAATGGAAACTACAGGGGAAATGTGGGCAAACTGTTTAAAGACCTGAGTCTGAAACCAGCTAGGATACTAATCACTACGGGTACATCTACACTGCATGCTTATGTCAAAATAAGCTATTTCGGAATAGTTATTCTGAAATAGCTTATTTCAAAATAGCACATCTACACTGCAGGGAAGCCTCAAAATTAGTCTGAGACAGGCTTCCCTAATGTAGATGTTCTATCTCACTTTTGAGCCCCAAGAGGCACTGGGGAGGAATAACTTAGAATGGCCCTGGTAAGGGGCTATTTCAAAATAGCAGCAGTGGAGCATCTACACGTGTCTTATTTCAAAATAGCTATTTCAGAATAGGCATTATTCCTCATAGAATGAGGTTTACAGATTTTAGAATAAGCTGTCTATTGTTTCAAAATTATTTCAAAATAATGGAATGGCTGTGTAGACACTTGCATTGTTATTTAGAAATAATTCTAGTTATTTTGAAATAACAGTGCAGTGTAGACACACCCTATCACTCTTACTCCTTTAAAAAAATGCCACAGTTTTTTGACGATCAAAAAAATAGAGCCACAGTTTAACTTTTGAGTCCAAAAGCTGGTGCCTTCAGCAGCTAAGTTTGTTGTTATCAACCTGTTGGAACATTCTTTCATTAATAAATGACAGAAGGGAGCAATCTAAGAAATCACCAGCAATACTTCGTGAAGCGCTTAGGGTACATCTGCACAGCAGGGATAAAGTCGAATTAAGCTACACAACTTCAGCTACGTCAATTGTATAGTTGACGTTGAAATAGCTTAATTTTAGCTTTTGGCGCTGTCCACACAGCAGGAAGTCGAAAGAAGAACACTCACTCTTTCTTCAACTTCCCTTTCTCCTTGTGAAATGACGATTATCATGAGTTGGAGTAAGAAGTCCTCCAACTCAACATTATTTTGAAAGAAAGACTTGTAGTATAGACGCTCACTATGTTATTCCCAAATGACGCTGATGTGTAGACATACCCTTAGTGTTCTTTTGAGATTTCCTATTCATGAATTGACTATGCCTAACATTCCTGGGGGGAGAAGAGCTGGAAAGTTCACCCTTCAAAATGACATGGCTGGAGAAAATGTGAAATAAAAATATTTTATTATGGAACATTGAAATATTTGAATAATTATATGACTGTTAATTTTCCAAGATAAGATGTTTTAGGGCGGATCTACCACCAAGTGGTTGTGCTTTGCCAAACTGGAGACCAAGGTTTGAGGTCTGACTAATGTTCCCTGTTAGCTGAGTGCTTGGGTGGCCACCTAGGAGATATGCAAGTGCCACCCAGCTGATTAGCAGAGCAGCAACAACTGGTAGCATGTGTTTCTATTGGTGGTGCATATCTGCCCATGTCTCGAGGCACATAACAAAATTTATTCCACACATAGTTGGAAAACATTGGAGGGAACATTGGTTCTGATCTCAGACTCTTGTCCTACAAGGGAAGGAATGGTTCTATCAGATATGTGACCCACTTTACTATTAAAAAGGAAAATCTGGGAAGTTCATGAGACCAAGAGTAAGCTCTAATCACGCTATTTAAAATTTCCTTAAGAAAGTTCTGTTCTTTCTAGAGTACCTATTCTGGGCATCAGAACAGACCAAACATTATGAAGAAATGTCACTCAGTGATGCCCAAACCTGATTTCATCATTCTGGAAACTACTCTTAAAATATAAATCCCTGGCAAGTTACACTTGCCAATATGATACATCTGGTACAGCTTTGGTTTACCTGCCCCCACACTTCTGACCCCAATAATCAAAATCATTGCTGAAGAAACCCAGACTGAGCTGCAGGAAGCACTAACCAAAAAGGGCCCAAAAAATTTAAAACTAACTGCTGCAGGCACAATTTTCAGTGCTACTAAGGCTTGTTCACCAGTCGGTGTACAGTGATACTATTTCTCTTTGGAAATACAGCAGAGACATTCACATAACTGATGTGCACATATTATTGTCTAGAGTAATGGTTCCCAAACTTTTCAGCATCACACCCCCTTTTTGATTTTTGAAAAACCCTCACGGCCCACCTTGCCAAAAATAGCAGCAAAACTTGTTGAGCAAAAAAAACCAAAAACCAACAACAACACACTGACTGGGGCAGCAAATCTTGATGGGGTGGGGGCCGAGTCATCTCACGCCTCGCCCCTCCCCCGGAATTTCTTCATGCCACCCCAGGGGGGTACGCCCTCCAGTTTGGGAACCCATGGTCTAGAGCTACTATCTTAGCCATGTACTGACTTTCTCATGTTTGTTTTTTATAGAATTCCTTGGTGGTGGAGATACCACCTTTCCGCAATCAGAGAATTACCAGTCCTGTTCAGGTTAACTTCTATGTCTGCAACGGAAAGAGAAAGAGAAGCCAGTACCAGCTGTTCACCTATCTTCCTGCTAATGGTAACAATATATTTCTAACCTCAGGTGGTGGAAACTAGAGATATTTGCTAAAAGGTTACAAAGATAGAACGTAACTGATAATAATTCTGTATCTCACTTGAACAATTTAGGGCTATAATTATTGCTATAAAATAAAAAAATGTGGGCTGCCCCACCGAGCTGTCTCTTAATTTGCTGTCTGAGGAAGATACCCTCCAAATACAGTGTTTTCTTTTTGGTGATTAAAAACAATGGAGAATCCTGTGGCGTCTTAAAGACTAACATTTATTTGAGCTTAAGCTTTTTTGGGCCAGAACCCACTTCATCAGATGGCGGTAGAGACTTCTGAGCTCCCTATTGTTGGAACTAAAGCATGAGAAGCATTGCTTATGGTCTGTGAAGCCTGTAGCTTCAGGGAGCCTCAATTGTGCTTGTGTTTATACATGCTCTACATATAAGAGCTCCTCACGCGGCATGTGAGATGAAAGAAGGAATTCTGTGCCCATGAGCATCAGAAAGACTCTTTAAAGCATGAGATTGCTGAGCTGTCTCTCCCAGTTTCCCAATCCCAAAGGGCATATCATTCGAAATCACCCCACAAACTGTATTGTGCTCTGAACTGGACGTGATATGGGATTTCTCCTACCACCTATCCTTCAGCTACCTGCCTTTCTGGGGTTGGAAACTGAGTCTCAAAGGGAGGTGAGACTCTCACTCAGTGTTACTTGTAGGCAACTGTGGATTCTGAACACCACAAGCTCCTTGAATGTGGAGGGGAGAGGCCAGTTCTAGCCTTGGGTTGTGTTTGGTTGGGGAGTAGTTAATGCTGTTTCCAGGACAGATGTCTAGCCCCATGTCAGAGATGGAGTGAAGCCTACAGTGTCTGTTTGCTGTTGGTCAGGTTGGTATGCCAGAGGGACCTATATCAGTGATTCTTTATAGAATGGGCCATACAGTGGAGCAAGAAGGGGCAGACATTGATAACTCATCTTTGAGCAACTTGACTCAAGAAGTGTTTTTCTTTCCCTTGAGAAAAACAAGCCCTTTTCTGAGTGTCCATTGCAATCATCTTTCCAGAATCTTCCATGTAAGAAATCTGTCTCCCCTACACTTGCTTAACGTTCAAATCAGAAGGTTGATTTCCAGCTGAATTCTTCTCTGGAGCACTGCTAAAAAGCATAATGGGAACGGAAATCAGATAGTTTCCTATAAAAATCTTTATGTATAGGAAAGGGTTGAAGTCTGAGGATTTTCACAAGTGTGGTAATCTGTGGTGTTTTGGAACCTCATGTTGACAAATGCTGGGAAGTGCTGGTAACCTACCAGTACTAGATGTGTTCAAGAGAGAGGTGTGTGAAATCTGTATCATACTCCTGATAATTTGCATTTAGTTATAAACTTTAAAATGGCTCAGTTTCAGAGAACCCTTTTTGATGAGATATGAAGGTTTATTTAAAGTGAAATGACCTGGTTGTTAAGAGAAATGGGTTGGCAAGGAAAATATACATAAATTCACACTTTTCACGGGTTTCCAATGTGAAAATAACCATGTTGTGGGAGTTTTATGTACAGTAATATGTGAGTTTCATGCTACAGCTTGAGGGAAAACAAGCCTGAAAACATTTTAGATGAAACTGCATGAAATACAAATGTTGAATTTCACATAACTTTAGTTGGGTGCTAGTCCTGACTTGTATCGTGATTTTAATTCAAAATAAAGCATCAGAAAATAACAGGGAATTTGACAACAGCAAATTACTCCTTAAATATAATAGAAGGACTCTGCTGAAATAGTTGCCCCAGGTTTTATTGAATTAACGTAATTATGCAAATCTTCTCAGCAATGTAGATATCTATGTGTATCTGAGGATTGTGTAAATCTTCCAGATGAAAAACAGAAGAGTTATCATTCTCTTATATGATACTTTCAGCAATAAATATCTGTTGTGATGGCCAGAGATAGTGCTTACCTCTTCAAGGACCTTCCAGAGATATTTAATACTCAAGTCTGTGCTGATTGCTATTAGTTACTACAACTCCTTTTTTCATAGAACAACATTCCTTTCTTTTTCATCTACCTGGCCCTGATTCTCCATTCCCCAGCACCTCTCTTGCCCTATAGTCATTTACACAAGTGCAAAGTGGGTGTAGCACTACCATTTGGATTTGGTAGCTCTTCATAGTCTCTTTGCACTAGTATAAATAATGCCCCAAGCAACAGGAAGTGAAGAACGACCTCCTACTTTATTGTACTGAGTTCTTATGGTAGTGTCATTATTTTTAACATCATGGGCCTGACTCACCTCTCTAGTACTGGTGTTATGGCCCTGTAATGTCAAGGACTTCAATCCAGTGCAGCCTTGATTGACAGGTGTAGAACCTTGATTGACAGGGTAAGAGAGTAATACATCAGATCTGGGAGACCTGTTTTATATATAATGTAAAAAATGAAGAAACATGCTGATTTGTTTATAGTCTCCTTTATGCCTACAGAAGAAGGGCAAATATATTTTTGTAATCACCTGTAATTATTCAGAGAGTATATTTTTGTATTGGTGATATCTGTAGTTGTTTGTATCATGCCCTTTAATGGTAGGGATGAGATATCTTCACTTTTCTTACATATGTATATTGTGCAAAAATGAGACTAGTAGTTTAGCACCAGACTCAGTTAGCTAATATTCTATATTTCAAGAAGGCTTTTTTTAGGCTGCACTGGTTTATCTCATTTAATTCACCGCTTCTTGTAGTTTGCCAAAATATTATAGAAAATCAAAATGATGCTCATCAAAAAAAAAGTTAACCCAGAAATTACTATGTTATCTAGATAAAAAGGTTTTAAAAACTTCAGCAGCAAGTATGTCCAGGTAACACCTCCTGACTCGTTCATACAAAATCCCACAATGTATGATTGTCAAAGTAATCATCAAGTATTAGATGTGGTTTTACACAAATCAAGTAGCATATCATGTATTCTTCCTGTTTTTATCCTTTGAAATGCTAGCATATTGACCGATTAGGTTGCCTTCCGTTGGTTTCCTTTTTTTCTGCACAGTAAGGATCCTTCACAAATTACATGATACATGTTATGTTTTACATAAGCTAACTATTCTCAGAGCAAGGTACAGCATGGTACCCACAGGGTACTAGCCTTGTGCTGGTACTTTCTGTGTGGTTAGATGGAAGGAACTGACATGCACTCACATGTCACAGGGTCACTTCCAGCCATTACCATATTCTCAGAGCCAAAGTATTTCTGGCAGGCCTGTCTCTCCCCATTTTACAGGGGTAAACAGGCAGTGGATCCAGATAGTAATGGATTCACTGTGTCACACGTGCTGTGAATGGCCCCGTACAGCACCCAAAGAGTACAACTTAGTAACATGTAGAGAGTGCAGACCACTCTGTAGGGCAGAATCTCTGCTTCCCTGCAGTCAGGGACTTCCTAGGCTGTGGTGGAGACATGACAGGATATTCCCGTCTCTTTGAAAATGGAAGCAATTGGTAGGACAGGAGCTTTCTTGGGGAATCATGAGTTTCTCCATCATGAAACTGTATCCCATAAAGGGAAAGTTTGTAAATAAAATAGAGGTTTTACAAAGGCGGGGAGAGAGGAGAAGTGGAGTTATGTTTTTGAAAAAGAGATGAGTCTGTCTGAAAACTCTGGCCCAGGCAGGCTCAAACCATGAAGAATTCAGAATCCAAGTCTGGTTCTGAAGTGTGTGTTGTGGATCCACCTCTGTGGAGGAGAGCTTATCCCAGCTCTCACTTTACAGAATTTCTCAGTGGTTGATCTTCGGCTCTTGGCATTTTTTGTAAACATTTCTGCAGTGGTGTGCAGCACGGGGCTACTGTATAACTGCTTTATCCTATGATCTGCAGCCTTTCAACTTTTGATTCTGTCCCCAGGACATATCTGTCACACCAAATATAAGCCATTTCTTTAACCCTTTGATGTAGGCGAGTCCACGCAGTTCATTTTTCATGACCACATACCATTAAAATGTCCCAACTCCCCACCCACTGTTAAATGGTGGAAAATGTTAATCTCTGCAAAGAAAGATGAGATTACTCTTGAAGGGTCCACCCATTCCAGGCAATCTTCATGGTAACTTTTTTTCCAATGTTTGCTCCGGAGGCTTTATTAGCATATCATGTAATGTTACTTGTGGAAAAGCATTAGCCAACTCTGCATGTGTATTGCATTTTCATCTAGAAATACCATTAGTAAGGGTACGAAATATTTTTCATTTTGCATTTGTTTTTGTGTTATAGCACAAGTGTGTTATAGCATTAGCATAATCATTTATGTTAATAGGAAGTGTCTTCTGAAATCAATGGGCATAATCAGTAGGGTTTGGGGAATTGTCTGATCTGAAGGAGATTGGAGGAGAAGGAAAACATTTAAAATGTATGCTACTGTTAAAATCCCGTGAGTTTCCATACAGCACATGTATGCGACTGTTAAGAAGGTGTAGATGTGCTAGGGTCCAGATTATTAAAGGAGTTAGACATCTAAATACCTTTGAAAATTTAGTCCTACTTCTCTGTCTCAGATGCAGGTTTAAAGGTGTCCTGTTTTGTGGAATTTTGGAGAAAGTTGAGAAGGTGAAATTAATTGGCTATTAGAGTTACGTCTCTGTTTATTCTGATTTCATTTGATCAGGTACATTTAAAAAATCATTGAGACCTTTTTAGGATTTTGTCTCTCACAAAGAGAGCCTTAGTGACATCTAAGATATCTGTGCTGTCTGCAGAGTACAGGTGTCATAGAGGGGTTTTTAGTTCATCCAAAAGATCTCTCTTCCATTTCGGGTCACCATGTAAATGATATTTAACAAAGAAGGGGAAACTATCAATGAATTTATTAGTCCAGGAAAGGTTGTTATGACAAGGGAATACTAAGACTTCCTAACTGCTTCTGTAAATTATATCTAAAAATAGAAGCCAAATTCTGCTCCTAGCACAGACTATGAGGGAGTGAAGAGCAGTGTTCACCGAAGTGCCATGCTGGACATTTT